TTTGTAGCAATGTTGCTACATTCTAAAATTTATTTGCTTTCAAAGGCAACATAAGGTTGAAGACTGGTTACACTTATCTCAGCATCATTCTTCCTGTATCTATTCCAGGAATTACACTTCTTACTTCTATAATAGAAGCTTGATGTAGAAAGCTGAAGTCTGAAGCATGTAATAAAAATACCAGCCCTGAGAGGTAGATAGCACTTAAAGAAAGTTTATCTACTAATTTTTATCTGGAGCAGACAACTAGTACTAATAACTTCTGTTGCTGCCTATGTGTCTGCTCTCATATTTATCATCTACTTATCATCAAAAATTATAGCAAGTTCATAGCTTTTATTTTTTTATTGCATTTCCATACAATGACATGGCCTCTGTATTCACTTGATCAATTCATAGTCATCCATATATTTGAAATCTGACTCTAAACTCACCTCCTTTTTCAAATTAACCTCTCCCTTCTGAATACTTTATTTCTTGTAACTAGGATTTAAGAAATAATCCTTAATTTATGTTCTTATTTTGTGAGATTTATGCCCACTAATTTCTATGTCCCTTGAAGGTTTGCATTGACTTTTATCACTATCATCTCTGCCATAGTCTCAGTAGACATTTAACCCAATCACCGTCGAAACAGCATTTATCTATCTATGCATCTATGTATCTATCGATATATCTGTCTATCTATCCATCTATCTAGTTTAGAAGAAGAAAATGTAGCATTTTGTTTTCTATGTCCTGTGAGTGTATGAAATTGTACTGTATGTTTAGCTAAACTCAGACTATATCAAGCTAGTTAGACTCTTTCTACAACATGTTCTATTTTTTCTTTCCTCCTTTGTCATCTCTTGATCTATGATGGATAGGTGGGTATTGCTTTGTTAAATCCCAGTTCACAGTGGAAAGTATTGCTTCACTACCTGGCCGAGTGCCTCCATGTCTCAATGTCATTGTAAATATTTCATAGCTTTCTATGTGTACACACACTCTTACTCCTTGTCTTATTTTAGCAACCTTCAAAATGTCTGCATGGTACTCTTTGGGGCAATTTTTCTCCCATTTTCAATTTTCTTTCCTACTGTCTACCTACATATTATGAGATTTTTTTCCCCCCAAGAAAATTGCTTCTGTGTAGAAGAGCTTGCTATCTTGGGTAAAATGGTCAGAAAGTACAAACTGCAATCTGGTCCTTTCTAAGGGGAGATCTAATTACCCAGCTGGCACTGGAGAATACAAACATTTTCACTCTGGACAATGTTTATCTGGCTTTTTTGCAAGTACATCACTTTGGAAAGCTACTTGCTCAGCTAATCTGTAACTGTCATGGAAATGTAATTTTTCCCTCCTCCAAACCAATAGCAGGCACCTGGTAAGACTGCCTTATGCACCATGCATTCAAGTTTAACTGTTTCCATGGAAACTGGATGCGCAGGATTCCTAGCATCCTGAAACTCCTCCCTTTTCTCTCTGCAGTTCTAACTCCATTCCTTTAGTGCCCTTGAATGAGATTACAGTGCTTTAGAACAACTCTGGAATGGGCTTCTTCTCTCCTTTGTCCTTGTCAATAAGTCATTCTTGCCATATAAAGGGGCAGAGACTGAGTCTTAGTCACTTGGGCATACTCCTCAGTACTTAGCCCAATGCCTTAGACAGAATGGGCACCCAAAACATATTTGTTGAATACCTGATTAAGGGTATATTCTATTAGTAAGTTCTGCTATTGTGATAGCTAATGAGCTCTTGAGCAGAATAACTGGAAAGATGAACAGAGTCGAATGGCTGAATACAGAGTTTAAACCACCAATTTATAGACCCCAAACTAAACATGATCTTCCGCCCTCCTACTTCAGTTGACAAAATTTAAAAGTGAAGGAGCGTAAATTTGGGTTTATTGAATAACTGCTAAATAGCAAACACTTAATTCGTATTTCCCTGCAAATTCAGTACTATTATCACCCATAGTGGCTGAGTATTTAAAACCTCAGGATTAAAACTTTGGAGGTACAGCACATATAATTTAGATGCTACTCTACTTACTTAACTTGATGAGCTCCTCTAATGTCTATATTGTCACAAAAGTTGTATTCATAAATTAGGTGGTTTAGAATCATAGAAAATACTAACAAGTATAAAGATATGAAAAGATGAAACAAGCCAAAGGCTATTCTTTAAAACTTTTTCAAATATTCACTGATAACAGAGCCAAAAAAAAAAAAAAATGAAAACTGGAATGTTCAGGAGAGATTTCCTTAGACTTGGGATACACCAACATTTAAGGTCAATGATTATTACTATGGAGAGTGAATACATGTAATGTTGACAAAGGATGATTAAAGCTAAAGCATTTTAAATTTACTCTATTTATGAGAAAAGATGCACATTAACTATAATTATATTTAAAAAAGGATATAATTTGAGGTATTGTAACAATTAAAATATAATAAGAGGTTATTATAAACACTTTCTGCCAGCAAATTACAAATGTGTGATAAAACAGACAATTCATGAAAAGCACTTTCCATCCAAATGGATTAAAAAAATCTAATAATCGGCCAATGTACATAAACAATTTCTATTGGTTCTTAGAATCTGCTCAGCTCATGACTTTTTGCACTATACCCAGGTACCATGACCAAACCTTTATTAGACAGACTCTAAAAAATATTATTTTAAAAAAAATCATTGAGTTACAACATTAGTAAGAAACTGAAAATGAAGTGAGAGACGGAAATCCAAATTTGTCTGAAAGTATTTGCTATACTTTGAGAACTTGAGTTTTGGCTGTCATGATCTTGAATAACCTAGACAAATTCACAGCATGCTTTGGAAGGTTATTCTAACAGTTAAATCTCCTAAATAGAATTGGAACCCCGAACTACTACACCTTCAATGAAATATAAATATACTTGTTTTCTCAGAGTACTGCAGTGAAAATTAATGTCAAACATCTTGGCTGTTAGTGAAAAAGAAAAGAATTTTAGCTTAAAAATTCATACACACAAGTTTGCGCTTAAAATTTCCACTGTATGTGGCATCTAAAAAATTCTCAACTGAAGAGTTTAGGTAAAAATCTTTCCTGGGCCCTCCCTGGTGGCACAGCAGGTTAAAGCACTGCTGGAGCCACTTCCGCATGAGTTGGATCCCCGCCTGCCCCGGAGGTGACCACATGGCGCAGCAGACCTCTCCTGACCCGCCCGCTGCTCCCCTCAGCAGTGTACTTCGTCGATCTGCCTGTTCTGCTCCCCACTCTGTCTCTGGTGAAGCCTCTCACTGCTCCTGCATCTCTGGCCTGTACCCCAGTTCTCTATGCATAAGTAAATAAATCTTTAAAAAAAAAATCTTCTCTGGATGAAATTATACTCCTGAGCTTCAATTATTTCCACAAGTGACCTTCAAAAATACATATGTTCACATAATCAAAACCCACAAAACATGCAAGTTATAGTATAATAAAAACCAATCAAAACGACAGACTGAAAAATCAGACTTAGAAAATATAATAATCAGACATGAAATATCATAAACTCACACTTAAAAGGTTTAATCAAACATAAACAATTTTAAAGTCTTAGTGTTACAGAGCACCCCAGTGTGAACTGGGCCGCCTGTCTGTGGGGCCTCACCTCGGGCACCCTGGCGTACCCGGCGCTTACAATTCAGTTGTACTGCAGGGACACACAACAGGATCAACAACGGATTTATTTACAAAAGGGGAAAGGAAAAGGAACAACCCAGGGAAAAAGAATGGGATACAAAGTAACTGGAATATCTTACCAGCTGGGCTGACTTGGAGCTCTGGTAACAAACTAACTAAAAGCCCTGAGTCCAGCAGTTCTGAGAGCCGTTGCCGGAGTGAGAGCAACCGTTGGACAAAATGGCTTCCTATTTATCCCCCAGTGCCCCAGAATGCCTGCTTTGCTCCACCCTGGTACTGCTGGGAGTTGTAGTTTCCAATCACTGGAGTAGAGGTAGAGTGCAGCTGGAGTCGGGGGTGGGGTCACAAGACCCTGCAGAGTTCCTTTAAGACATCCTTTCCCCTAACATTAATAATAACTAAGGACTGAAAAAAAAATTAACTATGAAACTTTTAAAACTAAAAAAAGAGTGATAATTAAAAGAGCAACAGGAGGTTTTTAAAAATAATGTAATTGCTTATAATATATAATAGTTTACATCATTTTGTGCCTTTTTCCATCTCAGTTGTAATCCCTGTGGGCTTCCCACCACCAATTCACCCATGTGTCATCACCATAGTCCAGTGCAATTCCTCCTCCTCCCCATTTTTTAATCTCATTCCTCACTCCACCCCCATAAAATATCTCTAGTATATAGTTGCTCATTATTATCATTATTATTATTATTATTATTATTTTCTTGCCTGGCCCATTATACTCCTGCTATGAATGAAGCCATCTGGTATTTCCCTTTTCTTTCTGGCTTATTTCACTAAGGATGATCTTTTCCAGCTCCATACATGTTACTGCAAAAGGCATGTGTTTATCTTTTTTGATTGCTGAGTAATATTCCATTGTGTATATGTACCACAGCTTTTTAATCCAGTCACCTACTTTTGGGCACTTGGGTTGATTCCATGTCTTTCTTATCATAAATAAAGTAGCAATAAACATGGGGATGCAGGTGACTTTTTGAATCAGTGTTTTTGTGTCTTTTGGGTAGATACCTAGGAGTGGGTATCTACTGGGTAGTGGGTATCTGCTGGGTCCTATGGAAGCTCCATGTGTAGCAGTTGGAGGAACCTCCAAACAGTTTTCCATAGTGGTTGTACTAGTTTGCATTCCCACCAGCAGTGCAGGAGAATTGCTATTTCCCCACATCCTCTAAGTATAGTTTTCAAGCAAAGAGAACAGGCAGAATTAACTATGTGTGACATTACAGAGGACAGGGGTCTCTTCTCAGGCCTCCACAGTCATCTATACCCCTCTGGGATGCACGGGGGTCTTGTCCACACCCAGCTGTGACTGGCAGGGTGGAGGGCAGTGATGGAGCAGTGCCCACCAGTCCTGGTGCTGGTGGCCCTGTGTTCCTGGTGTATGCCTCGTTGGGCTAGCAGGTTGCCTAGGGTCAGGGCCCTGACTCTCCACCCCAGCCCAGCACCTCATACTGTCTTTGCAGAGCTCCACACATGAAATTGATGAGGAGCTGGTCCACGGGGTCATCTACTCCATCTCCCTGCAAAAAGTGCAGGTGCATCAGGGGGTCAACAAGGGTCAGCACTGACTCTGGGTGAGTGCGGGCACCCAAGGGCCTCCCTACCCAGGGCCTGGCTGCCTCAGGACCTCCAGCCCTGCTCCCGAAGATATTAGGGCCCCAGCCCTCCCTCATTGACTGTCCACTCTGGCTATGGGCAGCAACAGAATCACTGCTGATGTACTTGTAGCCACATCCCCCTCCATGGTGTAGACCCCTCCATGGTGTTCTTGCATTTTGCCACAGTCTTGCTGTAATTGCCCTTCCTGGGTCCCAGAGGGGCCCTAACTGACTCCTTCAACATCATCATCACCCTTAGAAGGGCTGGAACCTCAAGCTGCTCTGTCATTGGACACAGCCCATGAGCCTTGTCAGTTAGAAGCTTGGGTGCAGAACATTCTAGAAGGAAGGCTAGTTACCACAGTGATCGGTCTGTGTACTGTGGACACATCTCTAGTGCTGTCCAGTCCCACTGGAGACACCGACCGGACTCAGCTGACACTCTCGGCTGAAAGTACTCACGTTCGTTGAAGTTCGACTTCTAAAACTGAGCAGCCTCTCTGGGAGTGCTGTGGACCCTCTGCACACATCACCAGCTCCTTGAGTGCCAGCGTTGCTGCCTCCTGGCAGACCCTGCCTCATGGGTCTCTGGTGTTGTTTCACCCAGTGCGACAGGGAGTCTGCCCTGAAGCTGTACGAGGCCCACATGGTGCGCACACTCAAGTTGGGCACCCTGGAGACGCTGGTGGAGCACCTGGTGCCCGCCTTCCAGGGCAGTGACCTCTCCTACGTCACCATCTTCCTGAGCACCTACCGTGCCTTCACCACCACCCAGCGGGTCCTGGACCTGCTGTTCAGAAGGTGAGTTCCCTACCCCTCACTGGGTGTCTCGAGCTTCTTGGAGCCTGTTTGTGTCTAAGTAACTGGGGGTGCTTTGGTGCCAGCCTCACAGGGGCTCCTGGGATGGGTGGTGAGCATGGGCGGTTGGACCCTCCACGTGCCTAGGACTGAGAGGTCATGGCAGTTGTCATCACCTCCTGGCCTCTCTCCAGGGGGAGCCCAGCCTCAGCCCTCACCCATGACTGTGGCTCGATCCCTCTCTAGTTTTCCCAGGTGTGAAATGGGTGGGGGGCTTTCGTTTAGCAAATATACGTGAAGCCCCTCTGCACGAGGGATCTTCGGGGCCTGAAGCCTGATTCCATGAAAAGAGAAGGCCAAAGTCCCCGCCCTCCTCCTGGCCTCTGTCCTCGTCGGGGTGATGCCGGGCCTCATAGCAGGTGCGATCGATGTGACGCCCTCATTGCCTCCTCTAGATATGGCTGTGTCTTCCCGTATCCCATTGGGTACGATGAGTCCCAGGACCAACTGAAGGGGTGAGTGGACACTTCGGGGGTGTGGCTGGGGTGGGGGCATGGGGGGCAGAACCCTGACTCCCACCCATCCTGGGATTCCCCAGGGTGCTGAGGCCTGGAGGCTTCTCCCACAGGAGGGGGTCAGAGGGCGTTGCTCCCCACCACACCAGCCTGGCTTGCCCACCCTTCCCAGTGCCCAGGGACAGGCGGGGGGCAGGGCAGGAGCGCAGTGGGAGGGCTGTGCAGAGAGAGATCAGGCCTGGTTGTTGTCTGCCCACCCCAGTACCATCTCCTCCATCCTGGGCATCTGGGTGGACGAGTACTCCGAGGACTTCTTCCAGCCCCCCGACTTCCCATGCCTCAAGCTGCTGGTGGCCTACGCACAACTCAACTTGCCAGGCTCCGACCTGGAGCGCCGTGTCCACCACCTCCTGGCCCAGCTGGAACATGCCCAGCTTGCTGAGGTGAAACTTGAAGGTGAGGAGCTTGGCCCAGGCCGGAGTGGGAGGTGGGAGGGTCGGCCTGCTGCGAGGGGGCTGCGGTGGGGACCCTCTCCCAGGTGGGCTCCGGGGGACACGGGCACGTGACAGAGCCCTGTCCCTCCGGCAGCTGTGCCAGCTTTGCAACCCTCTCCAGAGCGAGAGCCGACTCTGATGGCTGATGAGCTGCAGCTCAAGCCTGCCCTGGCGCCTGGGTCAGATGCAGGGCTGCGGTCTGCCCTCGCCCCCACGCTGGAGCCTGCCTGGCCTACGGCTGCAGACAACGGGCTGGCCGAGAAGAAGCCGCTCATCCTGGCTTTCCCCCCTGACCTGGTGGCCGAGCAGTTCATGCTGATGGACGTGGTGAGTGGCCCTCCCCAGGGGGCCTCCGTGGGCAGCTGGAGCTCTGTCTGCCCCAGCAGCTTGGATCCCCCGACCCTCCTGGCCCACATGAGCCAGGCCCCAATGCTGGAGGCGGTGGCACAGTGAAGCTGGGCTGGACCAGCCCGAGGGGCAGCAGGCCAGGGTGCAGCTGGCGCAGCTCCGCCCTCCTCAGCCTGGGGGCTCTGTGCCCTCGGCGGTGCTAGGCACCTGGTGTGTGCTCATGCATGGCAGAGTGTGCCCTGGGTGGAGGGCGTCTGGGGGGGCTGGTGAAATGGCCCCCTAGCCCCATCGCCCCAGTCCCTTGGGCTGGGCGCCCACCGTGAGCAGGAACCAAACCCAGGATTCCCACAACGCTCCAGTCGCATCCCAGCTTCCTGGACCTCAGCTCCGTCCAGGGCCCGGCCGCTGACCCTCCCGTCTCCCCAGGAGCTGTTCAAAAAGCTGGTGCCCTACCACTGCCTGGGCTTCATCTGGTCCCAGCCGGACAAGAAGGGCAAGGAGCGCCTGGCGCCCACCGTCTGCGCCACTATCACCCAGTTCAACAGTGTGGCCACCTGCGTCATCACCACCTGCCTTGGGGACAAGGGCATGACGGCCCTGGCCAGGGCCAGGGTGGTGGAGCACTGGATCGAGGTGGCCAGGGTACGTCCTGGAGGCCCAGGGCACCTCCTCTGCTCCCTCATCTGCTCTCAGTGTGTCTGGGGGGCCTACACCGGCCCCCATGTCCCTCCTCCTGGGTCCTGCCAGCCTCGACCTCACATCCACTGCCCGCACCCTCCTTCGCCAGCCCCTGGGGCTGGCCGCACCCTCCTGCCTGGGCCTAAGTGGACTCCCCAGGCATCTGCCCTGGGATGGGGGTCCGGACAGGGCTGCCCCAGGCCCGCCTCACTCTAGCTCCCCCACCAGGAGTGCCAGAGCCTCAAGAACTTCTCGTCGCTCTACGCCATCCTCTTGGCTCTGCAGAGCCGCTCCATGCAGCGCCTGAAGAAGACGTGGGAGGAGGTTTCCAGGTGGGCGTCCTTCCCCGGCCATTCCGGGGTCCCTGGGACACAGGCCGCAGTGTTCCTGCCTCTGCCAGGACAGGAGCGAGGCTAAGGCTCAGTGGAATGGGAAAGGCCCAGGTGACCCAGCCGGCGCCACCCTGTTGAGGGCCACAAGCCCCATGCCAGCGTTCTCCTTCCTCCCCACAGGGACAGCTTGCAAATCTTTCAGAAGCTGTTGGAAATCTCCAAAGAGAACAATGATTCGCTCAGCAAAGCGCTGCTCATCCAGGTGAGCTCGGGAGTCTCCTGGAAGTGATCCTGTGGCCCTCAGTGAGAAGTGGGGTGATGGGCAAGTGGGGGTGCACTGGGGCCCCAGGGAAGAGGCTGCCCCCCTGATGGCTTCCCTGCTGGCTGGTCTCTGGCCACCATTCCTCCCCAAACAGGCCCAGCCCTGTGGTCCTTGCGTCCCCTCCCTGGACTGTCCAGGGGGTGATGGTGAGGGCTGAGCAGCCCCATTGGTCGGCCGCCTCATGCAGAGGGCATCTGGCCTCACCCCTAGCCTGAGGTCAGAGGTTGGGGCTCTGGAGACTTAAAATGTGGGAAGGCCTCACTGACCCCATTTCCCCCCCTGGCAGGAGGGCACCTCCAAGTTTTCTATCCTGGAGGTGAACCCCAAGCAAGCCCAGAAGCGGTCGAAGGAGACGGTGAGTGTGCCTGAGGTTGAGTGGGGAGGTCTCCCCTGAGCTTGCCTCCTGCTGCTCCTGAAGTGTGACCTCTGACCCCCGCAGGGTCCTGCTTCGAGCCCAGCGGCTGGTGGCCGCTGCCAGGCTGAATGGGCCCGGGGGTGTAGGGTTGAGGTGGGGTCTGGGCCTGTCGGCCTGGGGGCCGTCAGGCAGCAGCCGGGGGTGACTCTGGGGACCAGGTGCTGGGGCTGGGTGAGGGTTCTAGAGGGCCTCGGGCCTCACTCATGGGCCCCTCCCTGTCTCAGGGTGTCATCGAGGGCACCGTCCCCTACTTGGGCACTTTCCTCACTGAGCTGGTGATGCTGGACGCGGCCTTGAAGGACTACATCTATGTGAGTGAGCCGGGCGGGCATGTGGGCGGGCGCCGGGGAGGACCCCCGTGCCCAGTGTGCTGGGAACTCTGCCCGGCAGCTGTGGAGGGCAGCTTGGCACCCTGTCTGCCGGTCCAGGGCTGCAGGGCTTTCTGGCCGAGCTGCCCACACCTGGCCCTCAGTCCCTCCGCAGTGGCAGAGGTCAGGGGTGTGGTGGCCGTGCTGTGGGCGGCCTCTCCTCTCACCTGACCTCAGAGGACTGAGCCTCTGGCCTGCCCCTGCCCTGGCACGCAGAACCCACCTGAGACCCCTGTCCCGGGTGTGCCCTGCCCCTAGCAAGTGGCACGGTAGAGCAGCTGCAGCGGGAGGGCAGGGGACACTCTGTGATGGCCCTTGGCTGTCTGCCTTGCAGGGGAGACTGATCAACTTCGAGAAGAGGAGGAAGGTGAGCAACTGCGGCCCTCCCCTGGTCAACAGTAGGGATCAGGCCTCACTGGCCCCATTCCCTTGCCCTCAGAGGGGGAGGGGGAGCCCCAGGAATAAGGGCCTTGTTGGGAATAGAGCGAAGGCAGAGGCCCAGAGACGGGACCTTGCCCACTCAGACCCACCCAGCTCCCCACTCAGGCCTCCACCCCACCTCACCCCACCCAGGGTCCCCATGTCCCAAGTACCCCTCCTGGGTCGCCCAGCACTGCTTCCCAAGTCCCTCCAGCCTCCCCGGGGCTCCCCAACACCCCAGGCCTCCCGAGACCTTCGCCACCACCCCACCCAGGCCCTCCCAGCACTGCCCCAGGCCTGCCCACTGGTGACCGGGCCTTGGCCCTGCACCTCCCTGCAGGAGTTCGAGGTGCTCATGAAGATCAGGCTGCTGCAGTCTGCCTGCAACAGCGATGGCCTCTTGCCGGAGGAGCGCTTCCTGGCGTGGTTCCGTACCATGGAGAGGCTCAGTGAGAAGGAGAGGTGAGAAGGGCCGGGCCGCCCTGGGTGGACCCCGAGGCCCAGAGGAGGCTGGGCGTGACTTCTGGGCTGTGGGTCTGTGTTGTAGCTACAACCTCTCCTGCGAGCTGGAGCCCCGCCCTGAGCCGGCCAGCCATACCCTCAAGGACAAGAAGAGCAGAGCCATGGGCAAGCGCTGCAGCCAGTGAGTGGCCCGTTGGCCAGGGGGCCGCCCGTGGGCTGAGGTCTCAGCTCCCTGCTTTTCCCGCTCCCCCACTCCCCCCCTCCCCCGGAGATGGAATGAGGCTAAATGGTCTGGCAGACAGACACGAGGCGCGGGGGCGAGGCAGGTGCCCCCGATTCACCTGGCCCTGCCTTTAGCCGCCAGGTTTCCAGTGCGGAGCTCAGCACCAGCCTTCGCCTCAGCAGCACGGACACTGCCCAAGCTCACGGTGTCCACTCGGCCAGCTCGTCCGGCTCCAACACGGAGGAGATCAACATGAGCTTTGCGCCCGAGTTCCCGGACGCCCAGGAAAAGAAGGTGTCTGCACCCTGCCCTCCTGTCCCGCTCATCCCTGTTCCACACCCAAAGGCCTGGAAGCCTACCTCCTGCTTCCTGAGACCCCAAGAATGGTTCTCGGGGGCCCCGGGCTCCCCCCTGATGGCGCTGTCCCCACAGTTCTGGGAGCCCGCCGCCCAGTCGTGCTCTGAGATCTCGGGCCTCAGCGCTGCCCCCAGCAGCAGTACTTCAGCCTCCGCCAAGCCCGTGGCCTCCCCAGGTGCGCACAGGAACGCAGTCTCGGGGGGCTGCGGCCACAGCCAGGCGCTGCCAGGCTACAACCAGCAGGTGGGCGACTGCTGCATCATCCGCGTCAGCCTGGACCTGCACAATGGCAACATGTACAAAAGCATCCTGGTGAGGCCCCGGGCCCCCTCCTGCCCTGGCCGGCCTCCGGGGGGTAGGGGGTGGCGGGCAGGCAGCCAGGGCCCCGTGCTCCTGGTGGTGCCTGCAGGATCCGACCAGGGTTAGGGGTGGAGGGAAGGCAGGGCTGAGAGCCAGGCTCGAGGGTCTGCGGGATCTTTGGGGAGAGGACAGCAGCCTCGGGTCAGAGCAGAGAAGGGACAGTGTCTGTTTCTCCGTGGGACCCAGCTGGGGCCAGAAGGCATCCGGGCAGGTGACAGCCCCCTGGCAGAGCAGAGTGGCCACACCGGGCAGGTGGCCTTGGAGGTGGCCAACTGGTCAGGCGCAGGTTATCATTTGAATATCAGGAATGAGCCACTGGGGTTTGCTCCCGGGGTGGGAGTGGGACTCGGCTTGTCCTTCAGAGCTCAGCCCCACACCCACTCAGGTCAGGCGCCCCATTTCAGGCCCACTTGCACCGCACTTGCCACCAGGAGCTGGCATGGTTGTCACTAAGCCATCCTCGGGGTGCTGTGCCCAGGGCTCTCTGGGCCCGCCTGTGCCCCCTCTCCCCCAGTCCAGACCTGGCCAAGCCCCAGACCCTCTCACTGGCTCCTCCTTGATCCCCAGGGCTGAGGGCAGGTGCTCCCTGTTCCCTGGACTCTGGGTAACTGAGGGTCAAGTGGTTTCTGGTGCCAGGGAGGAGGTAGCAGACCCCCTCCTTGCCCAGGGGCCTCCCCGGGGCTGAGAAGGTGGAGAAGGCCCCAGGGTCCCAGCTCCTGGCCAGGGCTGAGCCCTGAGCCCAGGCAGGAGCTCCAGGTTCCCCAGCCGCTGTTCTCTGGGGGCTGCTCGGCGCTGCCTGATGGCCTGTCCTGCCCCGACCCAGGTGACCAGTCAAGAGAAGGCCCCCACCGTGATCCGCAAGGCCATGGACAAACACTTTCTGGATGGAGACGGGCTGGAGGACTATGAGCTGGTGCAGATCATCTCAGAACAGACAAGTGAGTGGGGGCCGGGCGGGCAGGGGATGGGCAGGTCAGGCTGAGGCGGCGGTGTGCCCGAGACACCTGCCCACTGGTAGGCAATGAGCCCTGTGCCCCCTCACTGCCCATGCGGCCTCTGGACGAGGCACACGGATGCGGGACCCCGCAGTGCTTCAGCCATCTGTTCCTGGGCAGTGACTATGCTGGACTTGGTCTTGGGGCCTCTGGTGTCCGGTGTGGGGCGGCCTCCCTAGGGGCTCTCGAGGGAGTGGATGTCCCGGGGGGCCTCTCTGAGCGCCACTGACCCCTCTGCCCCTGCCCCACCAGAGCTGAAGATTCCTGACAACGCCAACGTGTTCTACGCCATGAACTCTGCGGCCAACTACAACTTTGTGCTGAAGAAGCGGACCCTCACCAAGGGGGCAAAGGCCGGGCCTGGAGCCCGCTTCACATTCCTGCACAGGAGGCAGAAGGGGCTCAAGATGGCCAATGGCCTCTTCTGAATGGCCGCGTGCTGTCCGCCGCTGGAGCGCCCGGTCTGACTGACCAGCGGCTGAGCACTTAGACTCCAGAGTCTCGGGCTGGGCAGGCGTCCCCTGCCCTCCCGAGAGCCCAGACCGCCCCCAGCACCAATTCCACGCCAACCTCTCCCGCTGTCGGGATTGATGCCTGCCGCAGACAGGCTGACCCGGCCTCCCGTGGGCCTCTCGCTACGTGCCTTTTGCTCTCTGGAGCCAGAGGCCTCCCTGTCCCGCCAAGGGGTGGCTCAGAGCCCCACATGTGCTCGCACCACCTCCGCACACCCCCAGTGTGGGTCGCTGCTGCCTCTGCCCGTGGCCTTGTTCACCCACCGGCTCATCCACCAGGACTGACCACAGGTGTCCGTGTCTCTTGCCCACGGCCCTGCCGGCCCCTCCCACGACGCTGGCCTTCCTCAGGCCGCACCAGATTCCATGATAAGGGCCAGCAGGGGGAGTCGCACCTGTCCCCCCATGCCAGGCCGCCCCTGAGAAGGGGCTCTCCAGGACCACACCCCCTGGCGAGCGAGGTGGCTCCAGCCAGACCCCTCGGAGGTCAACTCCCCTGCCAGAGCTACTCACCGCTGCATCCTGGGCTTCACGAGGCCACTCGAGACGGGGGTTAGCAGGGACAGAGGACGGAGGGGGCGGGACAGGGACTGGACATTTGTGATAAGGGCAGAAAGATGTTTACCAGTAGGGGAGGGGCAATATTTATTTGTTGTAAATAGCAAGTGCTAGACTTAAGTATTATATTAAAATTCTGTTTCTATTATGGCCTGGGGTGATGATTTTAGTCCTTCATTTCCTGGGCTGAAATCAGTAAGGCGTGGTCGGTCTCTCGCTGTGTGCCCAGGGAGCAATCCTAAGGGGTTTTGGGTTCGTTCTGTGCAGGAGGAGGGAGAGGGGCCCCACTCCTGACTCATCGAAGGAAGAGCCAGTCCCCTTTCACAGCCCAGGGGTCACGTGGGCCTGAGACACCCCTCAGAAACAACCTCAGGGGTTCGGAAGCATTAAAACAGTGTCAGTGACAGAAAATGGCGGTGGGAGCGCTCCAGGGGTCTGTCTCACCTTGTAAACAACCAGGAAGCTGCAAACCCATCAGAATCAAGGATGGGGGCTCTGGACCCTCATACAGACATGAGCAGGGGGTGTCTGATGAAAGGGGGTGCTCAAAACAATGGGGCAGAGCTGCCTTGAGGGAGAACTTGGGCTGTGCAGGGAGCTGGGTCTGTGGCCCCAGCTGGCAGCAGAAGCAGCCGCGGAGGGTGAGGGGCCCACTGCTTTCCGCAGGTAAGACTCAAGGTCCAGGTACCAGTGAATGAGAAGGTGTAAAAGCAATAGGAAAAGGAACTTGATTACAGGGGGAAATAAAGAATTTGACAGATATTACGAGGAAGCCCGGTATGTGGAAATGACTTAGCTTGTTAAAATCCACTGAAAACCTGGCCCTCCCTGGTGGCCCCGTGGGTTAAAGCGCAACACTGCAAGCAAATTCTCTCCCTGGTACTGCTGGGAGTTGTAGTTTCCAATCACTGGAGTAGGGGGGTGGAGTCCAGAAAGCTGGAGTAGGGGGTGGGGACCACAAGACTGCAGAGTTCCTTTAGGACATCCTTCCCCTTAACAAAATGGTGCCCTATTTATCCCCCCAATGTCCCAGAATTCCTGTTTAGCTCCACCCCTGGGTCCTCACAGTTCTCTCCCTGGTACTGCTGGGAGTTGTAGTTTTTAATAGCTCGAGTAGGGGGTGGAGTCCAGAAAGCTGGAGTTGGGGGTGGAGTCCACAAAACTCTGCAGAGTTCCTTTAGGGCATCCTTCTCCTTAGAAGGCCCTCAGGAGTTGGTGCCGATATTCTTGTTGACCTCCAGGTAGTTGCTGTTCTCTGTGGTGTAGGGTTGCCAGTGGGTAAGCACAGTTGGGTACCCCATGTTGGGGTCCCTGCAGGTGAGAAAAAGCCACAGAAACCCACAGCAGCCTCTTACTCCTAATTCAGTTTCCAGCGTAGTTTTCTCTCCACATCTATTTGTGCCCTTCATTTAACTGGACAAGTACATACCTGCAGGTGTTCCCGATTTTGCCTTGAGTGACGGGAATTCTGCTCAGAGCTCACTGTATTATATAGTTGTAGCCAAACGTTTATCCTAGGCTTTTAGGTTAATTTTCTCTGTTTTGAGCATTCCTGATTTTTTTCCATTGGCCATGATTATATGAGATTTTTAATCTACCACAGACCTTGTTATTATGAAAGCTGGCAAAGTGGAAACCCACAAGAGTGGAGGGACACCATTTCATGCCCTCCATCATGTGGGCTGGAAAAGAAGAAAACTCAGGAACTTCCAAGTGAGGAAGAGCTGGTGGCGCTGAGCAGTACCATGGCCATGGGAGGGGCAGTACCATGGCCATGGGAGGGCTTTTGCACCCCACCCTGCTGCTGGGCAGTAGGGCGCCCTCTAGTGTTGTCAACCTGAACGGTGCAGGCGGGAGGGGCCATGCACTTTCCCAGGGAGCCTTGCGCTCCCCCTCCCCCTCTCCCTCACAGGGCCGTTGGCTCTGTGCTGGGCCAGGGCCAGCTCAGTGGGTACCAGGAAGTGGATGGCCATCTCAAAGTTCACCATGGTCTTCTTCTTGACCTCCTGAGTCTTGGGTCCAGGATCGGTGTAGACGTCAAAGAGGTGTTGGCACCCCTGAGCCCCTTGGCAGTGGTGAACTCACTTACCAACTTGTAGAAGTACTCGCTGCGGGGCCAGGCTGCAGTCACCCGGCAGCTAGCGTCCACGGGAGGGTCAACACCCACCTGGCTGGCCCACCCACGGCTCTCTGACGGGGACAGCTTCCCCGCGGGGCCGGGCCTTCCCTCCGGCACCGCCACCCCACACCCCCTTACTCCAAGAGTGTCACTTGGTTGGTGGTGCTGGGTTGTGACATTGGCGAGCACCTGGCCGTCCATGTCGTTGGTGCCTGCCATGTAGTCCATGTCGGCCGCGTTTGGGGTCATCGGGGATGAAGTCACCGTCTGCCACAGGCAGGAAGCTGAGGTAGTGCGCTGTCGGGTCTGGGTGGCCAAAGCGGGTTTCTCAGACCTTGCAGGGCTCAACTGCCGGCCCCCTGGCCTCCAGGTCTGGGGTGACTCCTGCCCCTGAGAGGCCAGGGGGCCGGCGCCTGCCTTCTTTGGCCTGCACTGGGACTCCTGGCCCTAGGGCTTGGGCTGTGGATGGGTGGCTCTTGGTGGCAGCGTCCAGTGCAAGAGGCTGTGAGGGGCATCCCTGGCCTCCGTCTGCTGCTTTGATTTGGGGGTCAGATGTTTTGTCCTGGCTGTTTTACCTCGATCTTCTGGGGATGGGCAAAGATTCACATGAGGCGTCCCTGTGACCTTGATCAGAAGAGCAAGCAGGTTTCCAGCCTTTGCGTGGACTCCCACAGCTGGGCACCCTGTCCTCCCTGGGGGACAGATCCTGGCTGAAGGGCCAGTGGCCACTTGGGTTTAGTGAATTTGGCATGAATGGGCAAGGGAAGAATGTATGGCCAGCTTGTACAAAGCCTCTTGGGATCCCAAATCTCTCTTAAACTGTGTGCAGATCCCAGTGTATGTGTCTCTGGGAGTGGGGCTGGGATGTCCATCAGCTTCTCAAAGGGGTGAGGCCCACAGGGCCAGGAGAGGCCGCCCTGAGAGCCGCAAGGGTGGGTGCCCTGGCTCTCATACCCTCTTTCTTTTCCCAATAGTGGCCCTGTCACTCCCAGCCCCCACTCACACTGCGTGCTCTCCCCCGCCCCCCGCCACCCCAGGGGCAACTTATAGGCAGTTGTCAGAGCCAGCGGGATCAGTGTCTCACTGCTCTGGCTGATGGCCCTCTGGATGAGGCCCTTACTGTGGGGAGAGAGGGTCTGCAACACAAAGGAATCCTGTCACCACACTGCCCAGGATACCCCCAACATCAGCTCCACCTTGCTACTCTGGCTCCCACGCTTCCTAACCAAACCCTTGGGGCAGGTCTTTCCCGCCAGCGGCCCCCAAACCTACAGGGAGATGCTGGCACCTCCAGCTGATTCCTCAAGGATGGTGATGCTTGGGGTCCCCCCAAAGGCTGTGATGTTCCTCTTCACCCAAGAGATGGCCATGTGTTGGTCTCAGAGCCTGTAGCTACTGAGGGGGGGGGGGTTGGGGGGTGTCATCAGGGCTCTGGGTCACTGCTAGGGCTGGGCCTGAATGGCACCCAGGTGGGAGAGGAGGCGTCTCCGGGTGGTGAATTGTGGGTCCCCAGAAGGCAGGCGGGAGGGGGGGTCGCTAGGAACATTTATGCTCAAATTTACAATCTAGTACTGGAAACAATACAAATGTTTAGCAGCCATGAGCATCTAAACAGACTGTGTTATGTCCGTGTGGTGTAACACTACTCAATAATAAGAATGAACTATTGCTATATCCTGAAACATAGATGAATGTTAAGATAATTATGTGGAGTAAAAGCAGCTTGACAAAAAGAAATAAATACCATATGTTTCTGTTTACATAAAATCTGGAAAATGTAATAGTGTACAAGGATCGAAAGTAGATGAATGGCTGCCCGGGGGTAACGGGACTGGAGCGTGTAGAGGAAAGGATTAAAAAGTGGCAGAAGGGCCCTCCCTGGTGGCGCAACGCGTTAGGATGCAGCACTGCAAGCTGGCTACTGCCGCTCCAGCGCGAGTTAGATTCCTGCCCAAGGGGTGACCCACATGGCCCGGCAGACCTCTCCTGACCCGCCTGCAGCTCCCCTCAGCAGTGCATTTCATCAGTCAGCCTGCTCTGCTCCCCGCTCTGTCTCTGGTGAATCCTCTCACTGCCCCTGCACCTCTGGCCTGTACCCCAGTTCTGTATGCATAAGTAAATAAATCTTTAAAAAAAAAAGTGGCAGAAGGAAGTGCTCTTGGGAGCACACACTCGTCTTCCAGGACCATTGTGATGCCCATTCAGGAAGCTGGGAGCTGCTTGAAGGACACAGGTGCCA